CTGCAGGGGGGAAAGTCTTCACACACTTCCACACCCGTCTATTTTTAGGAGTGATAGCTACTCAAGAGGGAAGTATTGATTTTCCTCCTTTCCACCTTGAAGGTTCTGTTTATCTTTTCCTTCAGTTTGTGTGCACCATGCACAAAGCTATTCCTGCTGCTCCCCTCGTGCCCCAGCCAGGCCAGCATGGGTGGCCTTTGCTGAAACCACTTCTGCTCGGCACCTGAAGTCTCTGCATGCCCAGAAACTCATGTTGTGGAACTCCTTCTGCTCCTTGGGGGCCAGAGTGTGTCTGTGGAAAACCTCACCACTGCCAGCTGACAGAGGACAGTGGGGACGTGCAGGTGCAGAACCTCTCCTGCCTTCCCTGGGCTGACAAGGGCCAAATTCTCTTTCTGACTCTTCTTGATTTACAGCAGCTGGATGGAGCATGGGGGTAGTTGCAGGGTTTTTTTGTGTGGTTGAGGTTTCTTTGTTTTGCTTGGGGTTTTTTTGTGTTTTATGTTGATGTTGTTTTTGTTTGTTTTTGGGATCTTTTTAATTGTAGGGTTTGTTTGCTTGTTTCAGGTTTTTTTTTTTTTTTTTTTTTTTGTTTTTTTCCTGGTAGCATTTGTTTATAGGCAAAAATCTGAGTCTCAAGTAGTATTAAAAAGCAACAGGAGCAAAAATTTAAAAATTTTTATTTCTTCTGGGGGCTGTGGTGCTGGTGTGTGTTCTTTGCCTGGTGTCCCACGGAAGCACTGAGCACCACAGGTTTCTGGCACAGCACAGGTTCTCTCTGTGAGCCAGGGAAGGCCAGGGGCCACCTTGGCTGCCCTGTGCTGCAGGAGTGGCTCTGCCTCTGGCCCTGGCAGTGGTCAGACGGCAGCTGGCCTGAGGGTGGGGGGATAAAAAGTGGTATGCAGGGACCCCAGTCCCATTGACGAGGTCTGGCAGTGTCACAGGGGAGGGCTCTGCTCTGGACCCTCCTGGGGCAGCAGTGTCCCCAGCTGTGACCCCCGTGCAGCAGCAGTGTGTGGCTGGCACCTTGGGCTGGCTCTCAGCCCGGGCAAGCCCCCTGAGGGCAGCTCATCTCCTCACAAACCCGGCAGAGTCACAGGTTTGTGAGGCAGGATGGCTGCACTGCTGGGGTTTTGTTCTGTTTTCCTTTTAAAGTTTTCTTTCTGCAACAATTTCGTTCCCTGCACACGCACAGCCAGTGTGGTGGGAGCGCGGAGTGCCAGGGAGCTCTAACCCTGGTCCTTTGGCTCAGCTCTCTCCCTGGCTGTGTCTCCAAGAGCATCTTTAGAAGCTCTGTGGGAAATAGGTGAGTTAGTGCTCCGTCCTCGTGTCTCACCAGACCTGGCTGACCTTCAAGAGCTCTGCTGCAGAGACGCTCGCTCGTGCCAGAAGGCTCTTCTGCTGCAGCTCAGAGCCACGCTGGTCAAGGGGCAGCTCAGTTTTCCTCTCCCTGCCTGGGAGGACGGGGATGTGCTGACCCTCAGGGCAGGAGCAGACCCTGCCTGCTGAGCTGGGCTGGCCTGGGCAGGGACCAGCCCTGCCTCACTGGGAGCTGCACAGTGTGAGGATGTGTCACAGAGACACAAGAGGGGACACCACGGGGCCACAGCGTGGTTTGGGGTGGTAGGGACCTTTAAAGGCATCTAACCCAACGCCCTGCCATGAGAAGGGACATCTTCCACTGTCCCAGCTGCTCCAAACCCCATCCAACCTGGCCTTGGACACTGCCAGGGCTGGGGCAGCCACAGCTGCTCTGGGCACCCTGTGCCTCTCCACCCTCATTGTGCATTGTTTTTTGCTTATATGTAGTCTCAATCTGCCTCTTTTAATCCATCATCCCTCATCCTGTCATTACAGGCCCTGCTAAAAATCTGTGCCCATCTTTCTCCTGAGCTCCCCTTAGGTGCTGGAAGGGGCTCCCCAAAGGCTTCTTTCCTCCAGCCTGAAAAATGCCGACTCTCTCAGCCCTTCCTCACAGCAGAGGTGTTCCAGCCTCCTGATCAAAGAGGATGCCTCCTCTGGCCTGGCTCCAGCAGCTCCACATCCTCCCTGTGCTGTTCCCCAGGGCTGGCAGCTCTGCAGGTGGGGTCTCACATGAGCAGGGAGAGGGGCAGGATGCCCCCTGCCCTGCTGCCCACGCTGGGGGTCAGGCCAGCACAGGGGGGTTTCTGGGTCCCAGCACACACGGCCAGGGAAGGGCCAGGTCTCACCCACCAGCACCCCAAGTCCTTCTCCCAGGGCTGCTCTGGGGCCCTTCCTCCCTCAGGCAGAGCCCACCCAGCTCCCTGCTGATGGCAAACACTGCAGGCAGTGCTGCCAAGGGCTCCTGTGCTGAAGCTACAGGTGGAGAGCACCCAGGGTTTTACCGCAGCTTGTGGCAGCACCTGACCAGGCATTTCTCTGTCAGCAGCTGCAGGGGTGCTGCTGCTCCCACTGCTGCTCCTGCTGCCACGTCTGCTGGGAGATAATACCTAAAGACAAACATGTCATGTCAAAAGCTTTGCCCGTGAATTAATACTTTGAATGAAAGTGAATTAATGCTTTCCATGAAATGTTGAAGCACTCTCCTTGGCAGTGGGCTTGGCTTTTCCTTGCTGGTCAGACCTGTGCTGTGCATGTCCTGGTGCAGCTGCCAGGTGGGCCCTGACCTTCAGGTCTGCTTTGCTCCTGAAGACCCTGGGACACCCACACGGGGCTCCTCCCGGACACTGAGCTGTGGCTCTCCAGAAGGGCCAGGTGGCCACAGAAATCCCCGAGGAGTCACAGCTCCCTGTGACGGAGCTGGGGGAGCGCTGTGCGGGAGGATCCTGCTCGAGCTGCTTAGTGCTGGGCTCAGGGGCTCGGCTCAGAAATAGCTGCACGAGGGCAGGAGGGAGCCCTGGGACATCCCAGGCTGGGGACAGCTGAGTGACCCTGGGTGGCCCTGTCCTGCTCAGTGTGCTCCGTGTGCCCCGGGGATGCCGTGGGGACAGCTGCTCCTGCTGCCGGGCATTGCTTTGGGGGAATACAGCCGAGCTGAGCTGCCCCCTCTAGGACACCTGCCGTTTGGCCCAAACACTCCAGTTTCCTGGAAGGGCAACTCCTTTCCCGTTCCTTTCCCGTTCCTTTCCCGTTCCTTTCCCGTTCCTTTCCCGTTCCTTTCCCGTTCCTTTCCCGTTCCTTTCCCTTCCCTTTCCCTTCCCTTTCCCTTCCCTTTCCCTTCCCTTTCCCTTCCCTTTCCCTTCCCTTTCCCTTCCCTTTCCCTTTCCCTTCCCTTTCCACCAGCTTTAAATGTTTGTGTTTCTTCTTCAGACTTTTCCTCCTTGTCCCACAGGTTCAGAGACTTTCTCTGGGAATTCTCTCCTGTGAAGGTCAGATAGGAAATCTGTCCTTTCTGCAGAGTGCAGGGGAAGGGCTGAGGGCTGGAGCTGCAGAGGCAGGTGGTGAGGAGGCACCTGAGGAGGGTCAGGGTGCAGCAGCAGCTCCAGGCACCCCGACACGGAGCCCTGGGGCAGGAGCCCCTGCAGGCAGCACGTTCCCCGTGCTCAGAGGAGCCTTGGGGTGTTTGGGGCAGCGGGAAGGCCAGAGCACTTTGTGCTGCTGAGCAGAGAGGGGAAGCCAAAGGCACAGGAGGGCTGCAGCTGATGCCACACCAGTGGCAGAGACAGTGACACACTGAGAGGGGCCAGCAGGAGCTGCATCAGCTCAGGCTGCCCTGGGGAGATCCTGCGTGTGTGCTGCAGCCTGCAGAGCTGCTGCTCCTCCCCTGGTCACTTCCTGGGCACCCTCTGAGCTGGGGGTCACATTTCCCATTCCTCAGCTGTGATTTCTGGAGGCACAGTGGGGCACAGGTGCCCATTTGTGGGTCAGAGGTGCCTCTCAGGAGCCATGTGGCTGAAGGAGCAGGCTGAATTGTGCTGTGTTAGGAAGAAAGCGCCCAGAGAGTGCCCAGTGCCAGAACTGCTGAAGGGCTGAATTTACCCGGTGTTCTGCCCATGGCTGAACAGGCAGGCAGCATAGCAGGCTGGAGTGGCTCCCTGTGAGGAGCTCACCACCAAATGTGAGTCCTGCCCTCCCTTCTTGGTTAGAAAGTCTGAGCTGGGGGAGTGCCAGGGCCTGGGAAGGTGCTGAGTGGAACAGGACTAGTTTTTGTTGAGACACATTTTTTTGTTCCTCATTTCTGAGTTTCCAGCCATCCCTGCTGTTCACAGGTTAAATTACTGATATTTCTGTTGCAGCAGCATTTCTGCCATGGAGCTGCAGCCCGCTGTCCAGCATGACAGAGCAAGTCCCTGAGGCACAGCACGTCCAGTCCCAGCAGAAGACAGGAGGGAGGAGGTCAGGACGTGCGGAACCCCTGGGCTGGTCAGAAGGCGCCCTGTGAAAGGTGGATACAGCAGTTTAGGGCTGGAAACACAAGGAGCTGATACTCCTCACGGCTTCTGGCAGATAGAGGCACAATTTGTTTCATTTGTGTTAGGCTCTCTCCCAGCCCACAGCTGTTCCCAGGGTCAGAGCTCAGAGGTTTGGCAGTGGTGCACGGCTGCAGGGCTCACTGCTGGGCTGTGCAGCGTGCTCTGGTGTCTGCAGTTAGTGTCAAACCAGGTGCCTGCTTTCACTGAGCACTCGTGCTCTGGCAGCCTCAGTTTGGGGGTGGGAAGCTCACCCAGCCCTTGCACCTCCAAAAGAAGCCCATGGAGCCATAAAATCCTTGGGAAAGGAGTGGGAACATCACTGCCTGCCACGGAAGGGTAACGCACTGTGGCCGTGACATGGGTGACCAAAAGCAGCGAGCAGGGGAGGCTGGGTGGGCAGCAGTGCCATGAGTGTCACAGCACGTGTCACTCTCTGTCACAGCTCTGCTCTTCACTAGCTGATCTCTTGGTGTTAGACAGTACAATTAATATTGTTTTATTCTGTGGTGGGTTGTGAGTTAGTGTTGGTAACGCTGACAGCTGTCCAGAGGAACCCCCCAGTCACTGTCACTCTGTTTTCCTGTGGTTTCTGTCGCTTCCAGGTAAATGGGAGATTTGGAGACTAGCTTAATCCATACACGAAAAACATGTAGAATAGAGCAAATGGTAGCAAAATGGCTTCATCGCTCTCGGGACAGCGCACCCAGGTGAGTGGGGTTTCTGAGGAGGGAGCCCCCGCTGCTGCAGGGAGCGGGGCTGCACAGCCTGCACATCCTGCTCGCTGGTTCTGTTCTGGGAAATACACACGCAGAAAAAGAATGGCAGCAGCCTTCGTAAGCAACCCCCTTGGCTCGCAGGGACTGATGTTGCTGCCTTGCTCTGCTGTGCTTTTGTGAGGAGGAAATACAGCGTTGCTCCATGTGAAACTTGCTCTTCTTGAAGGTGGGCTCCTGCTTCTCTTTGTGGGCCCACATTTTTGACTAGGTTGCATTACCAGGGATCCTGGTCCATGGCTGCTTTCCTTCCCTGAGGTCTGTGAGTCAACATTAGGGTGGAGTGGACACAGGGTGGACATCCTGGGCTGATGGATCCCACAGGGGCCCAGAGCTGTGCGTCCCCGCGCTGCCTCTCCGGGTGGAGGTCATGGCCTGTGCTGGGGCACACCTGGGCCTCTCCTGCTGTGAGGCCACCGGGCTGGGGTGCCTGGGGAGCTGTGGTCACAGCCAGGCTGATGTCCTCAGCCTCCTGCAGAGCCCAGGGAGCCGCTGCTGGCTGCAGAGCCAGCCTCGGGGCAGCAGGGAATGGTGTGGATCCTTTGGACAAGCGGTGCTTACGTCATCTTTAACCATGTGCTCTGGTCCCCAGGGGCAGCGTGGCAGTGATGGACAGTGCTGGGGACAGCGCAGCCCAGCCCCCCAGCCGGGCCAAGGTGACAGTCACGGTGTACAAGGACCTGGTGCTGCAGCACTACGGCTTCGAGATCTGCCCCGGGCTGCCCCTGACCATCGCCTCTGTCACGGCAGGTGTGGCCTTCAGAGCCCAGCACGCGGTGTCGGGATCAGCTCTGGCAGGGGTTGTGGTTTCTGGGGTGCCTGGTGGGTGTGTGAGCCCTGGGCACAGCCTGGGTGACAGTGGCACACGCAGTGCCAGGACATGTCCCTGCCCCACGGTCTGAGCCAGTGTCAGTGTCCCCACGGGTCCCCCAGCTGTGCTCACCTGCTGGCCTGCCTGATGCAGAGAGCTGCTCAAAGTGAAGTCCCTCCTGGTTTTATCTGAAATGCAGAGGAAGAATTTAATCTTGTCTTAGGGAATTTCATCTGACTCTGCTGTGGTCACAGTGATCTGGACAGACCCTGGGCTTTTAGCCCTGTGGCAGAGGGGTTTGCTGCTGTGTGCAGGCAGTGCTGAAATCGAGCAGATCAGCTCCTCTAGCTATAGAAGAGACAGGTGTAACTCAAAAACTCTTATTCTGTTTCTTATTAGGTTTTTTTGTTGGTTTTTTTTTTTTTTTTTTTTTTTTTTTTTTTTTTTTTTTTTTTTTTTTTTTAATGGGTGCACAAAACCACGTAGTTTTCACCTGTTGGTGTGAGTGTGGCAGCCCTCTGCTTGGGGGCTGGCTGGGCTCTGGGCCAGGGCATGTACCTCTGTCACTCCCACTCCTCTTTATGCCCTTTGCCATGTGAAACACGCTGAAATCACCTGGGAGCTGTGGGGAGTAAGAAGTGGGTTTTTTCTGCTGTGCTTCTCTTTTCCCCAAATCAGAAAAAATCAACATTTTACTAGAGCTGAAGCACAAAAAACCTGTCTGAAGCTGAGGCACAAAGAAACCTGCCCTTCTGAGGCTGTCCTTTGCTGATGGGAGCCCACAGCTACGTGGCCCCTGCTTGGTTCCCAGCGTGGTGGGCTGTGACAAGGGGACAGGCAGATCCTGCGGGGCTCTCCATGGGCAGAGGGAGGCTCGAGTGGGGGACAAGGACACAGGCAGGGACCCACCAGGTGGTGTCAGCACCCAGTGTCCTTCAACCCCTTTTCTTTGGCCAGCCAGGTGTGGTTGTTGAAGCAGCAGGTGCTGGGAGGGAAGGGGAGCTGTCTCGGGACACCCCAGGTGCAGGTGTGGCACTTGGGGACAGCAGTGAGTGCCGGAGCCGGCAGTGCGGGGTTAGGGGTGGAGGGGATGCTCTCGGAGGGGATGCTCTCGCAGGGGATGCTCTCGGAGGGGATGCTCCCGCAGGGTTTTGCCGTGTGAGCGGCGCTGTGCCCGGGCGGGAGGGCTGCCCGTGCCTCACTCCGCTCCGCCGCGCAGGGAGCACGGCCGACGGCAAGCTGCAGCCGGGGGACCAGCTCCTCTCCATCAACTCCAGCGCGGTGGACGGGCTGTCCGTGGAGCGGGCGGCCAGCCTGATCAGGTGTGTCACGCGTGTCCCCGTGTCCCCGTGTCCCGGGCTGCGCTGCCGCCCGCGCTGACCGCGGGTCCCTTTGCAGGGACGCCGGTGACGAGCTGCTCCTGACCGTCCTGCGCTGCGCGGCCGTAAGTGGCCCTTCCTCGGCTCCCAGGGCACGGGACAGGGCTGGCTTGGGGCTGGAGGGGCTGGTCAGAGCCGCGGGTGTGCCCTGAGCATCCCCGGCTGTCGCCGCCGGCCCCGGGGAGGGCTGGCAGCGGCTCCTCGCAGCCCCCGGTGCGGGGCCGGGCTGCGGGGACAGGCTCTGCTCCGTGCTGAGACCCTGCTGCGCTCTGGGACGTGCGGAGTGCTCGGGGCTGCTCCCAAATCCCGTGCTGTGTCCCCGCCTCGTGTCCCCAGGGCAGTGAGGGCTGGGGCAGGAGGCGCGGGCACTTCTGGCAGGTGAAGGCTTGGCTCTGCCTGGCAGCTGCCGCGGGGACACCGAGGGGCTCTGCTGCTGCTCTTGGGGACCATCATGCTTTACAGGGGGTTTGTGCAGAGTTCCTGAAAGCGTGAGCCCGGTGGCAGCTGCCACGGTGACAGCAAGGTCGTGTGACAGCAGCGCCGTGCGGTCACGTCCCTGGTGGCCGCGGGCGGCTCTCTGGGCGGTTTGCAGCTCTCTGGGCAGCCCAGCAGAGCGGGCAGGGTCTGTCCCTCGCTGCCAGGCTCTCTGTGAGCTGGATGAGGCGCACCCCAGTGCAAGCCAGCTGCTGGCAGCGCCCCAGCCGCTCTGCGGGGTCCGGGCGTGGGGGACAGCTGGGCACGGCAGCTGGCTCACCTGGGCGGTGACACGGGCGCAGTGACACTGGCACACACGTGTGTGCTCGCTGGGCAGCCAGGGCTGGCTGCAGGGCCGGTCCGAAGGGTCTGGGCAGGGCTGGGGGCGGTGGGCATCCCCAGGACACCCTCCGGGCGGGTGCGAGGGGCGCAGGGCGAGCAGCCCCGGCACGGCTCTGCCCCGCCCGAACTCCGCTGTCGTTTCAGGGTGGCCCCAAGTCGTCGTTCCTCACCGAGGAGAAGAGGGCGAGGCTGAAAACCAACCCCGTCAAAGTGCGCTTTGCGGAGGAGGTGCTGCTGAACGGACACTCGCAGGTCAGGGCCGCGGGGCTCTCCCGTGGGCCGGGGGCCGGGCTCGCTGTGCCCCTCTGCCCGGGCCGTGGGCAGCCTCTCCCTGCGGGGTTTGTCTTTGATGTGCTTTCTCGGGCTGGTGGCAGACACCGCCTGCGCTGGCTCTGTCCCGCTCCCGGCGGAGCCAGGCCATTCCCTGCGCCCTGCGGGAGGCAGCTGTCCTCCCTGGAAGTGCTAATCCCTCCATGGCGAGCCCTCCCTGCAGTGTGGGCAGGACGAATCCCGGCCCAGAGAGGTGGAGGCAGCTGTGGGAGCAGGGTGGTGTGCTCTGGAGGAGCCGGGCTGGTTCCCGGCACAGTCCCTGCGCGGCGGCTGCGTCCCCGGGCACTCTGCCCTGCTGTTAGGTGTCACCGTGCGCTCCAGCGGCAGGCTTGCTCTCCGTCCCTGCCCAGGGTGTCCCCAGGCGTGCACAGCTGTGCTGGCCACTGTGGGGTGGGCTGGCTCTCAGTCCCTGGGGGCTGCCAGCCCACCACGGCTCTGCCCCTGCTGCTCTCCCTGCGGCACAGGTGAGAGCTCTTGTGTCCTCCCCAAGGTGTGAACAGCTCCTGAACGGCTCCTGCTCCTTCTGTGTAACTTTCTAAGCTCACTGGGGTCAGCTGGGAGTCATTAGCTCTGTCGACCTTTCCTGGTGTCTTTCAGGATGAAAGAACCCTGTGGTCAAAGTGCCCCTTTCTGCCCCCTGCTCATTAGTGCTGCTCGGCTGTCCAGGTCTGGCCAGCCTTTCTGCTTCACAGCAGGGACAAACCGGGCCCTTTTCCTGCTGCCCCCCGGCCTGCCTGCTGCTCCCTGGTGCAGCTCGGGGTGCTCCCAGGGCAGAGTGTGCTCCCTGTGCCCTGCACACGGGCAGAGGTGCAGCCGCGGGTGCCGAGGGTGTCACCTGCCTGTGTGACTGCAGGCGGGACCCCGCTCCTCCTCCTCCTCACTGCAGGGCAGGGCAGGTCGGCTGTGCCTCCAGACGTTCCCAGTGTCCCTCTGGACCCTGGGGTCCCTCCCTTCCTGCCACGCCGTTGCCAGGTGTGCCAGGGCTGCCCTCGCAGGGCTGTCCCACCCCTCAGGGTCGGTGACACGGCTGTGGGGGTCCTGGCGGGCAGGGGACAGCATAGCTCCCGCTGTTGGCAGGTGTGACACCCGGGTCACCGGGCGGGGAATGGCAGCGGGAGGATGTGCCCGGGAGGTGGCCCCAGGTGGCCCGAGGGCTTGGGGCAGGACGGATGGTGGGACACGGGCAGAGCCGAAATCAGAGGCAGAGCCTGCTGCTGGTCCGGCTGGGGATGTGAGCCTGCGGCTCCCCGCAGCTGCAGGCTGGGCTCGTGTCGCAGCCCGTGGGTCCGGGGCTGTGCCAGTCCCCGAGCGGTGGCTCCCAAGGAGCCTGGGAAAGCAGCTCGTGTGAGAGTCTAAAGAAGGCACCTGTGGAGGGAAAGCTGCACTCCGAGCCTCCCTAAAGCCTCGGAGCTGATCCAGCCTCTGCAAGTGCACAGGAGGGACACGGTCAGTGTTTAGATTGCCATTAATTTAATGACAGCACAAAGGCAGGGGAAATTAATTCAGGTGCTGGGGTCCCACTGGTGTTAGATTCCCTTTTCACCATCTGGATATGTAACCTGTTTTGAACAGTGAGGTATTAGCACAAAGGAAGAGTGAATAAATTTGTTGCATATTTATGATTTCTTTCTGGAAAAGCACTATGCACCTCGGCAGCCCTGAGTGCTTTAGGGCTGCTCTCCTTTCCGTGGGCTGACGTACTAAGGCAGCCAAAATGGGTATTATGGCCCTGAAAAGTGTACAGCCTCCAGTTTCAGTAAATATACTGCTCTTGTCATCCTAATGGAGCACGGCTAAGTGATCCTTGTGGCGGGGGGAAGGATCCCAGCGGCTGCGTTCTGCAGCTGAAACCCGACCCTGCAGGCTGCAGCATGAATTGTTAATGAGCCTCGCTGCTGCCCTGCCTTCTGCAGGCTGCTGATGTATTCCACATCCTGAGCTCTGCGCCGGGGACAGCCCCCGGGGACGCGGCCGCGTTGTTAGCAGGGGGAGCTGGGGAGCCAGCCCTGCCCCGGCAGCACGGCAGGGCACGGCTGCTGCAGCTGGAGGGTCAGCTCATCTCAGCTTCTGACAGCCTTCACAGCAAGGGAGGAACCCCTCTGGGTGCCCTGGATGTGGGCAGGAGAGTGGGGATGCTCTGGGCAGGTGTTCAGTGCTGCAGGTGCAGGTCCCCTCCCGCGTGTCTGTGCCGTGGGAGAGAAGGGGAGATGTGCAGCTGCTGTGAAACTGCATCACTGTCCTGGGGCTGGTGCACACTGCAGCCCCTGCCAGAGACACGAGCTCTTTGGGCTGGCTAAAGGGCCCAGAAGCTGGGCTAGAGAAAAGAGCAGCAGTGTTCTCTTGTTTTTTCTCAGTAATGGCTGCAGGCAGCTTGGACCCCAAGAGTGGCTGTGAGAGGAGCAAGGGTGGGATTTAGAAGGGTTTCGTGTTTGCCCTGGCAGCACTTCCAGGGGCTGTGGGCTCTCTGTGAGGTTTGTAACAGGAGGCACAGGAGAGATCATCCCAGAAACCCCGTTGCTAACCCTGAGGCTCTCTGACAAGGAGACGAATCCCCTAGGCGGTGGGAGCAGCGTGCTGGCCCAAGAACAGGACAGAGAGTGCTGGGCAGGAGCTCCAAGGTGCAGGGCTGAACTGCTGAGCCCTGAGCAGCCAGGGGAATGGTGGTGAAGCTGGGGGAGAGGGGCAGGCATCCCTGCTGCAGGGAGGGCTGAAAGGGGATCGGGCTGCCTGGGAGGACAGAGGCCAATGCTCAGACCCTTCCCCAAGCACCCAGCAGAGCTGCTCTCACTGAGGCTGTCCTCGTCTTGTGCCCCGTGTTTGGGACCCATCTCAGGACACTCTGGTACATCACCCCCTGCCTGGGACGTGCTGGGGTGTCAGATCTCGGGGCAGGGCTGGGTGGAAGCAGTGTGGTGTGTTTGGCAGGCTCCCCGTTGTGGTGGATACCCCGTGTGTGGAGACGAGAACCTTGGCTCCATGTTTCAGAAGGCTGGTTTATTATATTATGTTAAAATTATACAATAAAATATGCTAAAAGAATAGAGAGAAAGGATCCATCAGAAGGCTGGGAAGGACAGGAGAGGAATGATACCAAAGGCTGCTGACTCCCAGAGAGTCCGAGCCAGCTGCATCTTTGATTGATTATTGATTAGAAACAACCAACATGCACCAACCCCAGCTGCACCTGTTGCATTCCACAGCAGCAGTTAATAAATTGTTTGCATTTCTTTCCTGAGGCTGCTTAGTCCCTCAGGAGGGGACAAATCCTAGCAAAGCATTTTTCAGAAAATATCACGGCTGCCCCCGTGGCGCGGGCAGCGCTGGGGCCGCTGTCAGCGCGGGGGTCCCTGCTGCTGGGGATGGCAGGATGCCTTTTCCCGAGGCGCCGCCGGGCGCTGGGGGTGAGCGGGGAGCGTGGCTCCGTGCTTCCAGCGCTGCCGCTCCTGCTGCAGGCGGTGCTGCCCCGGGGGTTACGGTAAAGGTAACCCTCCTTCTGTCTCCCCGTGCCAGAAGCACAGTCAGGAGCCAACCTGGTGCCGTGCAAGAGGGTTGCCAAGGCAGAGAAGGGTTTTCCTGGATGCCAGGACTTGCAGTGGCGGGCAGAGCAGCTGGTGCCCAGGCTGGGTGCCCGAGCTGCTGCTTTTGTTCTGCAGGGCAGCTCCCTCCTGTTCATGCCCAACGTCCTCAAGGTGTACCTGGAGAACGGACAGACCAAGGCATTCCGCTTTGAGAGCAGCACCACTGTGAAGGTAAGGAGGCTCTGTTGCCAGCAGCCCAGCCCAGCAGAGGGGCAGGCAGGGCCCCTGCAGCCCCCCAGCTGGCTGTGCTGGGCACGCTGGGTTTGCTGACTCCAGCCTCGTTCTGCCCTGGTGAGGATGCTCCCCTCTGGAGACACGAGCACTGATTCACCCCCCAGGTGAAAGGGCAGCACAGGAGGGAATGATCCTCCTGAGCAAAGGGTGATCCTCCCTCTGATCACTCCCCTGAAAACACAATGCTGCTCTGCTGAGCCGTGGATCCAGCCCTTCCCAAACTGCTGTGCTTGGACACACCTTGCACACCTCCAGGTTTCCTGGCCTGATCCTTGTGGCTGCTCAGTGTTTCTGTTGCACTTGGTAAGATTTGGCCATGGCCAGTGGCTGGAGGGCATAAATTACTTAAAGGACAGGTGGTGTCCTGCACCAGTCCACGATGGACAGGCATTCTGGGGCTATCAGGCTGAAAGTATATTAAAGGGAAACAATGAGATTTCACTTTATCATGCAGTGAAAATTTTTCTCAGAAAAGGAGGAGTGTGTCTAGCTTGTTCAAGCTTCACAAAACCGTTGTGGTCTCTCAGGCAAGTAAGTGTCTGCAAGTCTTTTGACTTGCAGGGTCTAGAAAAATAAAATAGTGAAATAAAGCAAGGAGGTGGAAAGGAAAGGAAAGGAGACTTGTAAAAAGATATTTGAGTGCCTGTCCCCAAGGGTTTAATTTCTAAAGGATGGATTAGCTCTTTGTCTTTGACTTGAGTTGCTCAGCTCTGACATGCAACAAGTTTTCCCAGTTTCTGAGAGCAGCCCTCACCAGTGCCCTCCAGAAACACCTAAATGAGTAAAATGCTTCCCAAGTTAGGTGTTTCCAGAAATTCCTCTGTGTTTTGAGACATCCTGGCTTAAAACTGAGGTGAGTCAAACATTTATGCTTGCCTCGGAAGGCTTGAGTGAGCCCAAGGGCTTCTGTTTCAATTTGTGCTCAGTCAAGCCTGAGGTGGTATTTTCTTTTTGCCAAAAGTAAACCTTGTTACTTCTGTCGCAGTTAGAGTATTGACAGAATTCTCTATTACAAAGTGAAACACCAGCTTCAGTCAGATGTGGTAGGATTTTTTACAGTTACAGTCTCAAATTCTTGTTTATTGCAGAGAAGTGTTCTTCACAAGTTCTTTTTAGTTTTGTCAAAAATCATAGATTCACAGACTGATTTGGGTTGGAAGGGACCTTAGAGACCATCCTGTTCCCATCTCCTACCATGGGCAGGGACACCTCTCACTGCTTCAATCCTGTCCAGCCTGGCCTTGGCCACTTCCCAAATGTTTCAGAGTTCTAGAAAGCTAGAATAACAAACACAGCAAACACTCGGGGTGTTTCTGTCACTCAGGGGTGACAGAAAGTGCTCAGCAGCACCCAGCTGAAAAGCCAAGCTGTGGGTGTGAGGCAGCTCAGGACAGGCAGCTGCAGGAGGTGGCTTTGACACCTGTGACACCTCGGGGTCTGCAGCTTGCCCACCTTCTCCTCCGCCTGCTGGGATGGCTGTGCTCTGTCTGTCCGTGCCCCGCAGCCCTGCAGGCTGGGGCACGGCGTGGCAGCCCTGCAGCAGTGCCCTGCGAGAGCCCTGTGCCCTGCAGGACATCGTGCTGACGCTGCAGGAGAAGCTGTCCCTCCGCAGCATCGCGCACTTCGCGCTGGCGCTGGAGGAGCAGTACAACCTGGCCAAGATCCACCTGCTGCACGAGGAGGAGCTCATTGCACAGGTGAGCGGAGCCCCCCTGCGCCCCACAGCCCTGCAGAGGGGCACTGCCCCCCAGGAGAGGCCGGTGAGGGCACAGGGAGCCACCAGAGGGGTGAGCTCAGCTCGGCCCCCGCCATGCCATCCACTTCTGCCCTGGTGTCCACACCCCACGCCCCTGGGGAAGGACCTTTGAAGCATCCTGAGTGCCCCCACACACACAGCAGTACCCCTGGGCTGGTGCTGCCTGCAGAGCAGTCGTGGGTGACATCCTTTGTGCCCCCTGTCACAGCAGCCCGTCTGCTGAGGACTGCTTGAGCCTGAGGCAGCTTTAAGGCAGCTGGGCCTGACCTCTGCTCACAGCTCCCTGAGCATCAGAGCATCTGCCCCAGCAGGGGCCACTTGGGCTGAGTTCTGAGTCAGTTCCTCGTGTCCTGTGAGCCCGTGGCGTCCTGCAGCCGTGCAGGTTTGTCAGAGGTGCCTGCTCAGCTGCCCCAGCTCCGTGCTGCTGCCTTTGGTGGCTGGCAGCCCCCTGCAGAGGGGTCCCTGCAGTCACACAGAGTGCCCTGGGTGGGAAGGCACACACAGGGATCATCCAGCTCCAGTCCCTCAGTGGCTGCTGCTGTCACACCACTGAGCACATGGGTCCGGATTTCCGCTGGGCAGGACCTGCCCAGAATAAAATATGCTGATGGATAACTCAGAGCCTTGACATTGTACTGACATTACAGGGATGATTCAGGGGTCTGTTTAGGGCTGCTGTGTCTTGTGGCTGCGCTCCAAAGCAGAGCAGCCTGCCCCTTCCCCTGCTGCTATCACACTGCCCCAAAGCCTCTGTCCTGGTGACACTGCAAGTCTTTGGGATCAGTGGACATTTAAATGAGGTCTTGCTGTCAGAGGGCTTCTGGGCTACTGCAGGGAGAAGAAAAGACCAGATGGAGAATCAGAGATAAAGTTGCAAGCACTAGCAAAGTCTCCTTGTGTTTGTTCAGGACGATCTGCACCGTGCCCCTGCCAGTGGTGTGACACCATTCCTGTGGGTTTGCAGGGCAAAGGCTTGTGGTGCACCCCTGGAGGGGGGCTTGTGCTGTGAGACCCCCTCTCTCTTGCAGGTGGTCCAGAAAAGAGACTCTCACGACTACCGCTGCCTCTTCAGGGTGTGCTTTGTCCCCAGGGACCCCTTGGACCTCCTGCAGGAAGACCCGGTGGCCTTTGAGTACCTGTACCTGCAGGTGACACGCTTAGCAATCCCTTCTCACCCCATCCTCATTTCTGCTGTAAACCAGAGCGTGCCTCAGGCTGGCTCAGCTCTATGGAAACGGAGAGCACTTAAAACCAGGGCATTTCAATTCGATTTGCTTTAACTCTTAAATCAGCTTGTATGCCTGGCTGGGGATACCCTGGCCTGGCTGCGTGGCGTGGCAGTTTGTCCTGCCTGCCTGTGTCCTGACCGTGCTGTGTCTGCCCCAGAGCTGCAGCGACGTGCTCCAGGAGAGGTTTGCAGTGGAGATGAAGTGCAGTGTGGCGCTGCGCCTGGCCGCTCTGCACATCCAGGAGAGGATCTCTGCCTGTGCCCAGCCACAGAAGGTGTCCTTGAAATACATCGAGTGAGTGCTCCGATTCTGTGCCCCGCTGTCACTATGCCCTGCAAAAGCTGGAGACCCCAAAAGTGGCATCAGGTCGCTGTTTGCCCCCTGTTTAGCTCTGCACAGAGTCCAGAGGGGATTGCAGCCCCTTGGCTGTGCTGCAGGGTGGCCTCGGGCCCCCTGTCCTCAACCCCTGCCACTGAAGGGGTGCTGGGGACAGTTAAAGGTGATATAGAGACTTTAGCATCAGAAGGTATGAAAACACATTTTATTATTTGAAATCTACAGTGTTTATAGAAATAATGGTGGATTTAAGACTTGATTGGCTTTCAGGGATGTTTTTTTTTTACACTATGGGTGAACTATGAATAGTGCACTCTGGAGAACCATATTTATTACAGAAAGAGATAATAATTGTTTGAATTATTTCTTCTAAGTTTCCCACAGCTTCTACTCAGCTTCTCAGGACTTTCCTGGGAGAACTATGTTTCCCTCTGTTCAGAGGATATGTAATTCCTACACACCCCCTGACCTGCCTGGGTAGTGCAGGCACTGGACTCCTGGGTGTGTCCCGAGGCACAGGGAGGGTCTTTGTCACAGGGCCAGGGGCTTGAAACTGCAGATCTCTCACACAGGGATGGTTACCCGAGCTGCTCCTGCCAGTGTTGACTGCAGTGAATGGAGAGAGAGGGTGCAATCAACAGTCTTGCACAGCCAGAAGCATGCCAGGAATACCTCCTTTGGGCAGTGGTAGATCCTGGGATCTGCGGGGAAATGACCAAAAAGTGCTTTCGGAAGGGGCAGGTGTGCCCTGCTGCTCTTGGGCTGCACCTGCCCTGGAGGGGCCCTGCTCTAGGCAGCAGTTAATTACTCGTTAATTACCAGCACTGGTGTGGTGGCCAGGTTAATTACCAGGCACTGTGCAGCCAGATGTGCCCAGCTGTGTGCAGGGAGTGGGGGCGAGGGGCAGCTGCACTGCTCTCACCTCACATGAGGCCTGGGCTGGGTGAACTCTCCAGCAGCACACCTGGGCCACGCTCTGGGTGCAGGAGGCTGAACCTGCTGAAATGTCATATTCCTGCCACCAAAGCAAGGGCCATGCCAGGACAGAGGCTCCATCCTGGGGATGGTGGGGGGAGATGGGCACTGTGCTGCTCACGCAGGTTGTGAACTCCCTCCTGGGAAACCACGTGAAAATGGCCATTCTGCCCCAAAGTGCACGTTGCGCAGCGCCACTCCTGACCTGCTGGCAGGTGCAGGTAGCAGGGAATTGGAGCCAGTGAGGCCACTGGGGGTGTCACAGCCCCCCAGGGCTGCCTGGTGCCCCTGCCCTGCCCTGTGCTGCTGGGGGTCAGCGTGGCTGGGACCCCCTGTGCTCCCTTCCCTCTTTCTGCCAGGAGGGACTGGGGGATCGAAAACTTCATCTCGCCCACCTTGCTTCGAAACATGAGAGGGAAGGACATCAAGAAAGCCATCAGCTACCACCTGAAGCGGAACCAGGTGCTGCTGGACCCTCGGCAGAAGGTAGGGTGTCCCCCCCAGGTCACAGTGTCCCCCCCAGGTCACAGTGTGCCCCCCCCAGGTCACGGTGTCCCCCCCAGGTCTCCTCCTGCGTGTCACCCGGGGCTGTTCTCTGCCCCCCACGCTGTGCCCCTCTCCCTGCTCTGTGCCAGGCTCAGAGGGCCGTGTCGGGTGGTCCCTGGGCTCCTCTGCTGCCCGGCAGACTGAGCTGGACGTGCTGGTCACAGCCCGGTCCTGAGCAGGGGCTGTGTCCTGCTGCAGTGCTGCTCCTGACGTGTTTCCTCCCCTGCCCACGCAGCACGCGCCCGGCGCGGCCCAGGTGCGCCTGAGCTACCTGCAGATCCTGGGGGAGCTGAAGATGTACAGCGGGATGATCTTCAATGCCACCATGATGGTAGGGGCTGCTGTGGGCACTGCCCCCCCTGTCCTTGTCACCGTGGGTCCTGCTCGGGGGCTGTGCTGGAGGAGCTCAGCCTCATTCCTCCCAAGTGTCCGCAGCACAGACCAGCCTGCAGAGCAGCTGTGCGTGTTTTCCTGACTGGAAGCTGCCATTCTTGCTCCTCAGATAGACCCTGTCTGTCCTTTGTGTGTTATAAAGTACTTGGGAAATGTGGGCAGGCTTCAGGCTGTTGAGAAAATACTGGAAACCCTGAAACCTCACAGTGAAAAAGAACTCTTCCCTTTTTACCAGAGGTTTCTTGGGTTGTTGATTGTTCTGCCTGTCCCCAGCTGGGTCTGTGCTGAGCTGCAGAACACTGGGGGCTGAGCCGTGCTGGTGGGCCTGTACCACAGCAAGACCCCCATGGGTCACAGCAGTGCTAAACTTTACACCTACGTGCAAACTGAACAATTTCTGCCAGATCATATGTGCGTTAATTCATTTTTCATTAAGTGTCTCACCCTAACAAAAAGCACTGACACTTCTTCCAGGCCCAGAAATGCCTTTGTGAAGTCTTTACCCTGCAGCAGGTCTCACTGGGTCCACATGGGGACACCTGGGCTGCCAGGTGACGCGGCTGGCAGTGACCTCCTGCTGCCAGCCCATCCCTGGGGCTGCCGGGGGGCTGCTGCATGCCTGGGGCCGCCCAAGGCAGGCTGCTGGTCCCTGTGTGGGGGCAGAGCAGGGAGCGGGCTCCAGCGGCAGCAGCAGCAAGGAGAGTCCGAGCAGGGATGCCCAGGAGGTCGGGGGGCCCAGGGGGCCCTGCCCAGCCCGGCTGGGGGTCCCTGCCCCAGGGTTAACCCGTGCCCCACAGCTGCAGGACAGGGAGTCGTACGTGGCGCTGCTGGTGGGCGCCAAGCACGGCGTGAGCCAGATCATCAACAGCAAGCTGAACATCGTCAGCAGCCTGGCCGAGTTCCCCAGCATCAGCAGGGTGGAGCTCAGCGAGGACTCGGAGCGCGTGAGCACCGTCAAGATCTACCTGCAGGACCTGAAGGTGAGCAGCTGAGTGGGCACGGGGAGCCCCCTGCACCATCAGCTCTCCCCAGAGGCTGGGGAGTCACGGGGATAAAGGGCTTAGAACAGACCGGGGGGAAAGCTCGCAGGAAGAAACAAAAATATGGCTAGAGAGAAGGGATTCTTCCTGCTGTGAGGGAAAGTGATTTTTCCTCCATCAGTGAGATGCAGCAAAGGCACAAAAGGTGAGAAAAATAAATTACTCCTCTTTGTGCCTCCTTGTAAGAGACAGAGGGGGTGCCTTGTCCTTGTGCAGCCTGTTCCTGCTCACTGTGGTACAAGCAATATTTGTTTATTCTAATCTTCTTTACTCTTTTCTCCTCCACACCTCTGAAAAATAAACCAAAAAAAGGTGCTTACTCTGCTGCTGGAGTCAAACAGTGCCAAGGACCTGGTCTGCCTCATCGCTGGCTACTACAGACTCCTCGTGGATGCAAACGCCTCCGTGTTCACCTGGGGAGAGAAAAAACAGCAGCTGCACCGTGTCTCAGCTGAGGAAGGTGTATAAAACCAGCCTTTTTTTGACACAGGGTGGGGAGGAAGCGGGTGGGTGACCTGGGAGCAGCATCAGGTGGGAGCAGCAGCCCGGGGCTGTGCGGTGGCACCTGCGTTAGATCGAGGCTGGGCTCGGTGATCTGAGAGGGCTTTTCCAGCATTCACGGTGCCCTGCTGCTCTGACAGCTGCGGGCTTGTGGGGACCGAGGCTTGGGGCGGGGGTCAGCTGGGCTGGCAGCTGCCCTGCAGCTCGGGGGGCTGCTCTGGGCTGGAGCACCCCCTGCTCCATCTGCACCCCTCCCTGCAGCTCGGGGGCTGCTCCGGGCTGGAGCATCCCCTGCTCTCTCTGCACCCTGCCCTGCAGCTCGGGGGGCTGGCGAGGGCTGAGCCCCCGGGGTCTGGCTGAGCCCCCCACCCACAGCCAGGGCTGACGGGTTCCTTTAACCCGCAGGGTACGAATCCCGGGCCTGCAGCGACTCGGAGGACTCCTGGGAGCCGGGTCCCCGCGCGGAGGGGCGGCCGGAGCCCCGCAGCCCCGCGGCCAGCGGCGGCGGCCCGCGGGACACGGGCGGTGACAACGCCACCGACAGCACCTCCGAGGCGTCCGACTCGGCCAACACCGAGAGCCGGGGCTTCAAGACGAGCGGCTCCAGCGACTCCATGGATGCGCTGGAGGAGGAGGCGCTGGAAGCGTGCTCTTCCTCCAGGCCAGAGCTGCTGCGCCTCTGCACGCCCACCGTGCGGGAGATGCGCAGCTCCGAGCGCAGCTTCGTGCCGGTGTGCGCCAGCCCCGCCGGCACCGGCACCGGCACCGGCGACTACCTGTGCTTCCTGCAGGTGCCGCCGGGGCCCGGGGCCGGCCCCGCGGGGCAGGGCGAGCGCTCGGCCGCTCGGGAGGGCTCCGAGGGGGACGCCGCGGGCTCCTACAGCCGGTGCTGCAGCGCATCCCCCGCGGGCAGCGGCGCCGGGGACGGCGAGCCGGTCCTGCGGCCGCCGCCGGGCTTCGGGGACTCCAGCTCCGAGGAGGAGTTCTACGATGCCGCCGACAGGCTCAGCCCGCCGGGGCCGGCAGGTAAAGGCACGGCCGTGCCGGGGTCCCTGCTGCCCGGCGGGGCCGCGGTCGCTGCGGGACACGGAGCTGCTCTCAGGGGAACAGGGGAAGTTTGTTCTCTGACTCCAACGTTTCTAGATTTCCAAAGGTGACAGTGGGTTGGAGGGTGACAGTGCCACCTCTCCAATGACACTGGACAAACCAACAGCCCATCAAATTTCTCCTCCTCCATAAAATAATGCGAAACAATAAGTTATTTACAGAAAAGTGTGTGAGAAAGTTTGCTACAAGAATGCAAACATCAGAAGGCTTAGAAAATCTTAAAAAATCAGGGCGGCAATCAGTCCTCCTGGGGGCTTTTCCAAGACTTTGGAGGGACCTCTGAAGCCCCCTGTCCTCTGCAGGCCACTCCTCAGCACCCTTACAGTGACATTACAGGGGGATTTGTTACCATGTGCAAATACCAGGTGTTGGGAAAAGTCAGTTTGCAGAGGAGCAGCATTCTGGAATCGCCCAAACCTGTAAAACATTGTTACATGAACCCCCAAGCTCAAAGGTCGTGCTCAGGTTAGAGGCTGGTTTCAGAGCTGGGCCAAGGATTCCCAGGGCTGGGCAGCTCCTGACCACTGTATTTCCTCAGAAATGGGAGTATTCTCCTTCCTGAACTAATCAGCTCTTTCAGTATTAACAGAACCTCTTAAGAATTTAATTCATGCCATTAGAACAGTTTTGGCTTTTACAGCAGTGCACAGTCACCGTACTGTGCTCAGGAAGGAAACTGTCTCTGTGGAAATTGTTACCACCGAAATACGAAATACACAGCTGGGAGCCCCTGGCCGTGTTTCTGTGCGGTGATACACCCACAGCTGCTGCTGTCCCCAGATCTACCTGGGGAATTACAGCCACCCCTGCCTCCAGGTGAAGCTGCTCCCTCATCACCAGCCCTGGGCTTCAGCCCTTGTAGCCACACAGCCAGGCTCTGATTTTTCTGGACATCCCACTCCACGCAGGTTCTTGATCACGAGAGACCATTTCCCTTTGCTCTCGGGAGCCAGGCACTGCTGCTGCACTTTTGTGCCTGTGATCCCAAGTCCTGTGCCAGGAGCTTTTTGGCCCACTGTGTAGGCATGAGGACATTCTGCTGCCCGGGATTTCCTCCTGATTTCCATGTTTTTCTTGCCCTCAGGCTGCGATACAGCATCCTGGGAGGGCACAGAGACCTCCTCCTGCATCCCACAGAGGCTGAGGTGCTACAGCCTGGGGGAGAACCCACCAAGGAGGGAGAAGCAGGGGCAGGAGAAGGAGCTGACCTACAGCAAGAGCCTGAGGAAGAGAAGGTCTTTCCTGAAAACTGACTACACCTCGCAGGTCAGTTTCCCTGCAGCTGCCCCAGGCTCTCCACAGCGCTGCTGCTCCTGGCCACCCACTCAGCCCCCGACAGAGGACACAGGGAAGGACATGGAGAGGGGGATTGCTGCAGCCCCCCGGGCCCAGAGGGACACTGCTGGCACAGACCCCTGCTCTGACCTGCTGGACATGGAAGCTGACACCACGGAGACAAAGTCGGTGATGGAATGGCTGGTTGCCTCCCTTTTGGACGTTCACCATCCTGGTGGCCAGTGTGGGGAGCAGGACAGCAGCCTCCAGCCACAGCAGCCCCCTTTGCTGGCCCAGGAGCCCCTTCCCCGAGGTCAGAGTGGAGCTGCCCAGGAGAGCTCCCCAGGGGAGGCAGATCCCGGCTGTCTGGGCGAGGAGAGCCGTGTGCCCACTGCAGGCTGGCAGAGCCCGGCGCTGCAGGAGGAGGGGGGTGAGCTGGTGGGCACCCAGCACAAGGCCAGCCTTGTGCCCTCTGCTGCTGTGTGCCCCTCTGACCAGCTCGGGCTGCTGCCACCGGCTCCCGGCTCCAGCACGGCCCCTGCCCAGGAGCTGGCCCAGGAGCAGGGGCTGCTCCCTGCCAGCGTGGAGCCTTCCCTGGCTCCCTGGCACGAGAGCAAAGCCGAGCGCCAGAGCTGTGTCATTGGCAAGGGCAGTGCCGACAGTCAGGGCAGTGCTGATGGTCAGTGCCATGCCCAGGGTCAGTGCCATGCCCAGGGTCAGTGCCATGGTGATGCTCAATGCCATACTGATGGTCAGTGTCATGGTGATGGTCAGTGCTGTGCTGATGGTCAGTGCCATGCCCAGGGTCAGTGCCAGGGTGACGATCAGTGCCATGGTGATGCTCAATGCCATACTGATGGTCAGTGTCATGGTGATGGTCAGTGCCGTGCCAGCAGCAGCTGTGAGGGGGCCGTGTCCCGGGCCATGTCCCGGGCCGTGTCCCAGTCCTTGTCCCGGGCCGTGTCCCAGTCCTTGTCCCGGGCCGTGCTCCCGGGCAGGAGCTGGCAGGTGAGCGGGCAGACCCTGCACGGCGGGCAGGCGCGGCTCCCGGAGCCAGCCCAGCTCCTGGCAGACTGCAGCAGTGCCTCGGGGGTGCTCACCCGCCTCTCCTGGCTCTCACTCGGGCTGAGGACAGAGCCTGTGCCACTCAGCCCTGTGTCACACGGCCTGCAGGACAGGGGCCACGGCCCACTGCAGCCCTTGGCGTGTCTGACAACCCACGGGTGCAGGGCTGGTGGCAGGATGGTGCCAGCATCTCCTGCAGGAGGAGGCTCTGGCAGCTCAGGGCAGGCTGCAGGGCAGCCAGGAGACCCAAGAAATGTGGCTCAGCAGCAGACCCAAGGAGACCCAGGAGACCCAAGAAATGAACCCCAGCCTGCACAGGCTTCTCTCCCCAGAGAGCAGGCGGCAGGGCTGGGGAAGGACTCCTGCCTGCCTCCATCTGCAGGGCTTGCCATCTCCTCAGTCCCAGTTCCCTTGGGGCAAGGAGCAGGAGCCCACGGGGCTGCAAAGCACTCGTTCCTCTGCTTTAACCCCGAGCAGGGTGAGCAGAGCCCTGTGCCCCCCCTCGCAGCCGGGCCCTCCCCAGCCCCCCGAGGGCTGGACAGCTGCGGCTGCCGCCTGCCCTACATCAGCTGCTTCCCGCAGCCCCACAGCCAGGGCGAGCGCGAAGCCAGCCCTCCCCGGCTGCCAGGACCCCTCACCACCCCTCCGTCCAGCAGCTGCAGCCTTCCCAGCACCCCCGGGAGCAGCTTCCCAGTCTCTGTTGCTGGGGACACGGCAGGGCAGGACCCCCACATCCGAGTGCTGGGGCAGCTGAAGGACCAGGCGTGGGTGAGCCCTGCGGATTTCTCCCACTTCCTGGCCTACACTGTGGAGCTGCAGGAGGTTGTGGGGAAGCTCTGTGGGAACCAGGCAACCCACCTGCACGACCAGTGTGCAGAGCAGGGTGTGGAGAGCAAGGGTGCCCTGGGCTGGGCTTCCCAGGACCTGCTGTCCAGCTGCCAGGCGCTGCTGAGCACGGAGCAGCCCCTCACGGAGGTGCAGCGTGCTCTGAGAGCCACCTTCGACCGCCTGGTGCAGCTGGCAGTGACCTGCTTCCAGGTGACACACTGCCGGCGGTGCAGGCAGCGGCAGCAGGAGCTGGGAGCTGCGCTGGGGGATGTGGTGGGCACCTACCAGCAGCTGGTGCAGGCCCTGCACCAGCAGCTCCACGGGCAGGTCTGCCCTGAGCTGGGCACCAAGCTGCTCGCCCGCCAGCACACGGCCCTGGCCGCTGCCATCTTCTGTCTCCTGCAGCAGTTCAGGGCGTCCCCGTGGCTGTGACGGGCAGGCTGGGGGCACACCAGGGGGACAGAGCCCAGATGTGTGCCCTCTGTGCGCCTCAGGCTGTCCCCCAGGAGATGCTGAGCCCAGGGTGGCCGCGGCAGGACGTGCCCACACCCACTGGGGTGGCTCCCCAAGAGCAGCCGTGCCCCAGGTGCTCTTGGAGCACTCCAGTGCGTGTGTCTCGCCCAGGGCTCGTCCCCTGGCTGCCGCAGGCTGTGCAGGTGCCCAGCCTCACGGCGTGCCCTCAGCTGCCTTTGCCACCCGTGGGGAATTCCGAGTGGGAGCCGCTCAGCCTGCCTCGCTCACGCTGCTCTCCGGGCAGGCTCTGGACTGAGGGGACATCCACCCCCGCCCTGGCCGAATGTGAGGGACCCCAGGTGGCTTTCTGCACCTCGGTGGCCGAGGGAACACAGCGATCGCACGTCCAGCTGCTTTTGCTCGGCCGGAGGGGTGGTGGCAGCCGTGCGGCCCCGCGCGGTGCCCGCTGCCCCGGGCGGGGCGGGACCGGCCCCGGCGGCTCCCGGCAGCGCTCCCGGCCGTGCCCCGGCCCCGGAACGCTGCGGCCAGAGCTCTGCGGGGACCGGCAGGGGCTCCCCGGCCGGGAGCAGCCCTCCCCGCAGGTGCCGCTCACCTGGCCAGGTGCGAGCCACAGGTGATTCGGCCTGGGACAGGGCACGGCCAGTCCCTCCTGCTGAGCCCACCGGGGGATATTGGGGGTGGCTGCCTCTCCCCAGGGAGCTGTGGGGGGCTGCACTCGGCAGCTGAGGGGCACGGGTGGGCTTGAGTGATGGCACCACCTCTCCCCAGGCACGGTGGGGACAGGACTGTCCCCTGGCTCTGGGACACTGAAGGGGATCATCTCCACGTGCAGCATGCCAAGAGCTCCCAGGGCACAGCAGCAGGCACTGGCCAACACAGCTCTTGTCATGGCTTAAGCTCAGGTTAAGCCCTGGCCTGGGTTAAAGCTCAGCAGCTGGGTTAAACCCCCAGTGCTCCTGCACTCCCCACTGTCACACGCACTCGGACACAAGCCCCAGGGCTGTGAAAGGGTTTGCTGTGAGAGAGGAATGAAAACACATAACCAAACTTACCTCAGATGACCTTCAGGTCCTGCTGCCACTGGCCATGAGGTTTCAGGGCTCTTTTGGCAGCAGTGGCTGAGGTAATGTATGGTCTCAGCTGCACCAAACACGCTCCTGCTGTGGCTTGGCAAGCGACACTGCTCCGTGCAGGGCACAGCCAAGCCCAGGTACCTGCAGCAGGGACACGGGGTCAGGGACCTGTGTGTGCCAGGTGTGACGAGGTACCACTCATCAGTAACTGTAGGGACACAATGGGGATCTAAACCTTTTATTTTATATTAGATGCATACAACTAGCCAAAGGCTTCAACAACCCACCAAGCCTTCGGTGGGTTTAAGCTGCTGGGACACAGTGCCCTTGGGAGCTGCTGCCCATCTCCTGCAGGAGCAGCACTCTCCTGTCCCCTGGCAGGGCGCTTCCCTTGCCCAAAAGCTTTGCAATCCTAACTTCACCTTACTCTGTTTCAATAAAATGAAGAACACACCCTAAAGCTCTCCTCCCCACCTCAGAACAAGCATAGGTGCAGGAGTCACAAACAAACAGCTGCAAAGAAGCAAAACTGAATTCCTGTCAGTTTTCACTTGATCCCAGGCTCCGCCAGGCTTTCCTTTCCTGCTGGGGGCCACGGGCGATGTCCAGCACCGCATTCCTGAGGTAGAAGGTGTTGCTCCAACGAGGTCCTCACTCTGCTGGAAACAGCTGTCTCCTGTGCACAGTCATGCTGCTGCTTCCTGCCTGTGCGGCTCCTCAGCACGAAATAAAGAGTTTCCTTGGGCAGCAGTGGTGCTCTGGGCTGTTTCCACCTGATCCGCTGTGTCCCGCAGCACGTAGCCTTTTCCAGAAGAAACTCCAGCCCTCAGGGCTGCTGGCCAGCTCCGTGTCTCGTAGTAGGTGGACAGGACGTCAAAGACTGTCAGAGCAGAGAGGGGCTGAGCCACACACGGGCTGGGACAGTGGTGCCAGCAGCTCCACACGCCCACCAAACACGAGGGAGGTGATGACAGCTGACCCAGGGAAGGTCCCCCACCTAACAGCTGATGAGCTGCTGCTTGAGGCAGCTCACCTGGGGCAGACAGGCATTTTGGAGAGGACTTTAGGGAGCTCTGGGCAAAGCAGTGGCTGTGTCAAATAGAGTGAGGTGCCCCTGTCACTGCCATGGCTGACATGTGCCACCTGCCAGTGTCCCCCTGTAGTGAGCCACACCTGCTGTGCTCCCACTACCACTCCCAGGCAGGGAGACCCCATGCCCTGGGCACACAGAGTCCCCAGCCACTTCCTCTGCCTTGTGTCCATGGAGGGGCAACACAATCCTCACGTCAGGGGTAAAAGCTCTGAGGAGCTGGCCTGGGTCACGAGCCCCTCTGCAGTGACCAACAGAGGGGCATTCCCCTTGCAGAGGAGAAGGAGCACGAGCACATCCTCTGCTGTGACCAGGAGTGCCAGCCCACGGGGGTACAGGACACCAAGACCCCTCCCTGCCACTGCCAGCCTTGGCTGAGGTGGCACAGGTCTCAGAAGTGCTGTCCCTCCGTGGCCTGTCCCCACAGCAGCCCCCTGGCCCCGTGCACAGGGACCCCGGGGGCACAGCCAGCCCCCGTGCCCTCCAGCCCTCACCCTGGTTGATGGCCAGCGTCTCGGAGTGGTAGTTCCTGGCGTTGGGGGCTCTCACCATGTACTCCCGGATGGGCAGCCGGGCTGTGTGCAGGCGCTGCTCCCGCGCCCTCCGCAGGGTCAGCTGCTGCAGGGACACACGGACAGACACACGGACACACGGCCTCGCACAGCGGCCACCAGCCAAGCCTGCCCTGCGGCTGGCAGCGCTGCTGCAGCCTCTCCCAGCTCGCTGCTGGGTGCAGGCAGAGCCTGAGGGAGAAGGGCCGGGGGAGGCAGGCACCGCAGCGGGATGTGGCTGCTCACGGGCAGGCACCACGCACCTTGTGGATGCTCTCATCCACCAGCCCTCCCAGCACGTACACCTTGCTGGGATCGACGTCTTCCAGCACTACACAGAGGGCAGGCACGGGCTCAGCTGCACGCAGCAGGACAGCGCTCCCCAGCACACCCCCCTGCCAAGGACAGCCCTGGGCAGAGCCCCTCACCCCAGCCTGGGGCACACAGGTCCCACCAGCACAGAACCAGCACCAGATCTGAGCACACAGTGTGTCTCATGCAGTGTGAGACAGCCCATGTGAGGAACAACTTGTTTGAAGCATGGAATGGCCTCAGAAAGAAATTTCTAAAAGTCAGCCTTTTGTCCTGGTTCTCCCTTTCCTAAAGCATGTGAAATACTTACCATTCTCAGAGTCAGGAGTGAGATAAACAATGGCCTCCAAAGGAAACAGGTCCAGGTAACTCTCTGGGGTTGTATCGATCTCAAAACACAAGACAGAGTGAAGCAGCCCATTAGCCTGAGGTACATGAGCCAGAACAAAGCCCCCTCCCAGACACAGAGATATCCCAGGACTGACACTGCTGCTTTGGACATACAAACTGTCAAAGGTCTGGTGGATCCTACAGATCTCCAGTGACCTGGGGTTTTTCTTTTTCACTAGGACAATATTTCTGTTCTAGGCACTGATCAACACACCTAAACACTCCATTAAATTCTCTCCTCACCAAAAGATCTCGGGGTGCTTTGAGAAAGGGACAGCAGCAACAACTGACTAGTTCTAGATGAGATGCAGAGCTCAGGGCAGGATCTCCTGGCTCCAGGCCCTCACCAGGTACCCCGCGAAGCCGTCGTTCATGCGGAAGCACTGCTCGTAGATCGCTGTCCCCGCCGCGAACTCGGTCAGGCACAGCCAGAAGGGCCGAGCGGCGCGGCGGTTCGCCCCGTAGAGCCTCCGGATCTGCGAGGCCAGGCGGCCGCTCTCCTTGGGGACACCGCGGCTCGCTGAGCCCAGCCCGGGGCTGCGCTCCCGCCGGGCTCGGTCACCCGCCGAGCACAGCCTGTCCGGGATCCCGAGCAGCCCCCGGGACCCCCAGCAGCCCCCGGGAGCCCAAGTAGCCCCAGGAACCCCGAGCAACGCCCGGGACCCCGAACAGCCCCCGGGACCCCCGAGCAACGCCCGGGACCCCGAACAGCCCCCGGGACCCCCGAGCACCCCCGAGACCCCCAGCAGCCCCGAGACCCCCAGCAGCCTCGAGACCCCCAGCAGCCCCGGGACCCCCGAGCACCCCCGGGATTCCCAGCACCCCCGGGACCCCCGCACCTTCTCGCTCATGCCGCCGCCCACGCCGAGGTCCACGCACAGCCACGGCCCCGCCGCCCGCGCCTCCAGCAGCCGCTCCGCGGCCAGGGCGGCCGGGACCCTCCCGCGGCGGAGGGACGGCGGCCCGGGCCCGGCGGGGCCGCTGCTCAGGCACAACGCCCTCGCAGAGGAGCAGCAGCAGCCTCGCCTGGGTGCAGAGCACGGCAGAGTCCCGCCGGGGACTCTGACACACGAGGGACTCTGGACCTGGCCAACAGGATGCCTGGCAAAAGCAAAAGAACTCTGAAAGTCACACCTAGATGGCACGAAGATTCAATCAGAGTGGTTTAAGGACTGGAAAAAGAAAATCCCAGCAAACTCTGCGAGCAAGAGATGTTGTTATATGCATAAGCTTGTGTATGTGATTGTAACCTGTGAAAAATGCATACTTTATGATTGGCTTTTCGCAAATATTAAAATGAATATTATATGTGTTGTGTTAGAAAGTTGTGCTGTATTAACATTTTAACAGTATGGTAGATGTAGTTTCATAGTTAAAAGGTAACTTTTTGTAGTTGAAATAGGAACTATGTATGTGGAATGATTTCTTTTTAGAAAGGAATGAGGTGCTCCCACTGGATGGCGGCTGCAGGACACCTGAATCTTTCAGAGAAAGAGAATTTATTGCTCTTTTATCAGGAGAAACTAACTTCTTCCTGCCTCGCTCAGGCCTGAAGATGCCGTTAGGATTAAGAGGAGAAGTTGATGATGGACAGAATCCTGTGTTTGAATGGAATTTATGCATCATGCATGAAGTATATGAATATGCAACAGGCTGTTGTTTTTGAGGGTTAATCTCTGTTAACGTGGGTCCTTTTTTGGGCTTGTGTTGCCCAGAAAAAGATACCTGGACTGTCTGTAACTCTTTGTTTTTATTGTCTCATATTGTCCTAATCTCAGTTGTTCAAATTTTATTACTCTAATTATATTACTATTATTATAACCATTTTATTACCGTTAAACTTTAAAAACTTTTAAGAACAAGTGCTTGGCGTTTTTCACATACCCTAATCACTGTGGTACACATTACCAGTCTCCCTAAGACAGCACATGAGCGTTTGCCTGTGGAGCCCCTGGGGGCATCCCCTGGGCTGGGGACAGAAGCAGCTTCCCCCAAAAGCTGTTGAGACCCCAGTGGCTCCTTCCCCTGTTCCTGTGTCTGTTCCTGAGTCCCTGAGCCACCCCTCCTATTCCCTTATCCTGGTACTGCCCCTGGGGAGAGGAGCCTGGACCCCGAATGTGTGCGCCTGAGCATCTCCGTGCACAGCTGGGTCCAACACCCGTGGCTCCAAGCAAAGGCCCTCCTGCTTCCTTGCCCTGGACCTCACTGGCAGCAGCTCAGGCTGCAGCATCCGTGTGCCACAGTGAAATGGATTCTGGGCACCACCAGTGTCCCTCAGGCCAGCTCACCTGACCGGCACTGAGAGGCAGCACTCGTTGGAGGCTGGGGGAGGTAGAGTACAAGAAAATAAAGATGGTGCAGAAAGTCATCTCAGCCCTAAGGAGTCGCAGCTGGGCCAGTTATCAAAGGTGAGGAGCAGGCCTGACTTTAGCAGGCCACAGCTGTCACCAAGAAGAAGAAGATGCTGTAAAAGAGTGGGTTGGCTGGCTGGAGTCAGCTACTTTGTGAAGGAGGCAAGAGCCAGTGCTCTGAAGAGCTGCCTGTGAAACCACACCAAGAAGGTTTGAAACTTGTGTGACAAAGAGACAACAGTATGGAACGTTTTGCAATTTGATGACAACAGGAAACCCCTTCCAGCTCACACCTGAGTGGCACTGAGGTGCAGCACGTGTTGGAATCCCCTTCCAGCCCAGGGGATGGGGCTGGGACTGCTGTGGGGTGTCTGCAGGAGGGGGGTTCCACACGGGGTTAGCTCTTAACTTGTCTTTTGTTTCCCAGGAGAGCAGCTGTGCTTGCCTGAGGCACCTCAGGAGTTCATTTCACACTCCCCAGCCGGGCTCTGCTGAGGAGCTCTCTCCCAGCACCACTGGCACCCTCTGTGCTGGCTGCTGCCGCGTTTGTCCGTGAACAGCCGGGGCTCCAGCGTGTCCCACCAGCCCTGAATGAATGCATCCTGGCCCCACGCCCTGCTGGGGCCCCTCCGTGCCACCTCTCCTCTCCTGTGACTCGGCAGGTCTCTGGTGACCAGGATCGAGGCAGACCCAAGATGGAGCTGGCAGTTTTGAGGCTAAAGTGGTCAGTAGTAGACTGCCAGAGAAAATTTTGGGGTAAGACCCTCAGGTAACATGCTAGGGACAAAGAATATTTTGGAGGAAACCCAGTTCATCTGCAGGGGGCAGAAGGAACATTTTGGGGATAAGACAGAGGTCACAGTGGCACTCCCAGCATGAAACAGACCCAGAGTGTGGGAAATGGATTTGCAGAGAGATCTCAGGGCCGGGCAGAAGGCTCACAGTGTGCACCTGTGTGCAAACCCTGAGATAAGAAATGCTGTTACAGAAATGCCTTGGAACAGGACAGACATTGCTGAGAGAGAAATGGAGCCAGGAACAAGTCTCAAAGGATGGCCTTAGAAATTTGATTAGATACTTTGGGGAAATAGAGCTGTGACAGATGCATTGTACTGACACCTACAAGGGGTTTTAGATTTTCAGGGTTTGCTGTTGTTTGTCTCTGCCCCCACACAGGAAAATCCTCACCCTGTGATTGCCACTGCTATGCTACTTAAACTTTTGTGACCTGTAATTCTTCATACAAAGTTGGTAATTTGCTCCATAGGTTGAGATCAAATTTCCAGGTGTCTTTGGCTTCCTACCAGGGTCTCTGAGCCCCTGCCAGGACTTTGAGCCATGCAGGGCATCCAGATAGATGTCCTGGGGTCCAACATCTCCCCCTTCTCTTTGCCACAAAAACACCTCTTTGGCAGCCTCATTCAAGACCTGCCAGATGCACTGGAAAATGCATGGCCAAAAGGAGCAGAAGAATTACAATCCCATTTAAATGTAAAAAACTATCATCTAACAAAAACTGTACATCACTGATTCCCACACCCGTGAAAAAGCCCAAAGCCCACAATCTTCTTTGGGTGAAGCTCAAGGGTTGCAATCTCTGCGCAGTCCACACCTTTGCTTGTCGAATGCTCAACGTTTTTCTTGCTCTTGATAGAGTTTCACATTCTCCACTGAAATCCATCTGGCCTTTGCATCTGTTAAAACACAAACAAACCCCACGTCCCCGCAGGGACTGAAGGATTTTCTCCAAATCCTGCAGGTGAAGCTCACCTCTTGGCTTGCCCTTCGGAATGGCCGCGAGGATTTCACTGTGCTGCTGAAGCATTTTTCCACCACCTTTTCTTCCGGCATGTTCTCCCAGCCGCTGTTCCCCTTCTCTCTCAGTTTGTTCCTCAGGATGGACACAGCCTGCCGAGGCGCTCCTGCCTGGCTGCGTGCCTGCACCATCTCTGCCCGGCGTTGCCACGACGGCCCGCTGGCAATGCGGGCTGGCGCTGCCGAGCGCCAAACTCTCCACCAGAGGTGGTTTCGCCTTCAGCTGCGCCCGCCGACGCACGGCCCGCGAAGGTCGGTCTGTGAACGATGACCAGGGCTCCGTGGGACCTTGCCTGGCCGCTGAGAACGGCACGTCTGGAACTCCCGGAGCACCCTGCGGGACTGCTCTCCGTCGTTCGGCACTCGCCGCGGCGCTCGTTCTGCTGCGTTGTCACCTGCAGGGCCCCCGCCCGCTGTGCCTCAGCCAGGTTTGCGTTTGGCCCGCCTTGACGGCTGCTCCTCAGTGTCGCTCTGATTTTTGTTAAGCCCTTTGATGTTTACATTCTCTCAACAAACTTTCTCACACACAGTTCCGTAAATAACCTATGTTTTGCATTCTTTCATAGAAGTAGAGAGAACTGATGGACCCTTGGTCTGTCCAGTGGCATTGGAGAGGTGGCACTGTCACCCTCCAATCCACTGTCACCTTTGGAAAACTATAAATGTTGGAGTCAGAAAATAAAGCTTCTTCTTTTTTGTTCCCCTCGAGAGCAGCAGTGTCTGTGTCATCATTTCGTGCCTTATCGCAACACCTCAGCTCCGCCAGATTCCCTCGCCACCTTCTCTCCCAGGTGGGATTCTGCGTGCCTGTGAGCACCTCTGAACAAGGCTTCGAATGTCCAACGGCGCGAGTCGTACGTGCTGAATTCCCCTTCAGAAGGTGTTTGAGGCACGCTGAACCCAGTCCGCCACGTTGGACGGCTCTTGCTAAGTCTCTGACCACCTCCTGACCCGCCCAGGATTTTGTCCCTGTGCATCACAGGTCACCGGCACTGTCAGATCTCCTGATCCCTGTATCAAATCTTCCTTGGACAATTCTTTTCTGATTCGTTCCCAGTCCTTTGCTGTGTATTCTTCTTCTTCTGGAAGCTCTTCTGGCAATCTCATGAACACTGGAGTCTTTGATGTAAATGGTGATCCTTTTTGTAAATATTCTTTGACTTGATGTCTTTGACCTCGCTCCCAACTTTGAACACGGAATTTGAAATTCTTGTGACTGCATCTTTTTCATTGTATCATATGACGGAGTACATCCCATTCCTGCTTCTGCTGCTGAAAACATCCACGCTGGAATTCCCTCTGATGTTGTGATTCGCATTATGCCTTCTTCTTCTTCTTCTGGTTGTGCTTCACGTGACGATTCTTCGAATTCCCAAGCTGACGGATAATTCATCTGTCTTGCTTTTGCTGTCTTCTCTGATATAGTCTTCTTTTTGTCTGCAGCTGGAAAAAGCCGCTGCATTGTGGCATTTCACCACGAGCGAGAACTGCGGCTTTGCCGACCCGGCCTGGCCTGTCCTGCGTTCAGTCCTCCCTCCCACGGGGTGGCGCTGTCACCTGCTCGGACACCGCCATGACGTCACGCGCTCGCTCGGCTCCTCGGCCGAGCGCCGCAGTTGTGATGGTTGGGACCGCGGCTGCGCGAGTTTTGGCTGAACGGGCAGTGGAGGCTGAACACAGGAACGGCCCCTGAGGCTGGAGAGGGTTGAACCACCGGGACGGACGGAACCGGGACCGGAAAGGGGCGGAGCCTCGGGACGTGGCGCTCCGCGAACGGCCCCTCCCCGCTCGGGACGTCACAGGGGATCGGCCACGCCCCCGACCGCGTCTCGTTCTCGACTTCCGCGCATGCGCGCTCTCGGGAATGCCTCCCGTCTCCCCTGGACTGGCGTCACTGTCTCTGTGCCGCTCCGCGTCTGATGTCTCCCCGCGGTGTCTGTTCGTGACCCTCTCTCCTCCTCCCCTGCCCCTGCGTGCAGCCCTCGCCCCGCCATTCCAGCGGATCGCCGCGGCTCGACTTCCGGGTGCTGCGTCACCACCGTGCGTCTCCTACGGGTGCCGCGAGGAGCCGTGCAGCTGCCCCGGCTGGCTGCCGGGGCTGAGGCGGCCGCGTTGCTCGGTGCGCCCTTCGCGGAGGTCCCGCGTCCCGCCGCTCGCGGCTGCTTGGCACGGAGCCGGCCGAGGCCTTTCCGCGCCCCCGCTGTCCCCGGCCGCCGTCGCGCTGCCGCGTTCCCCCGTGTCCTTGCGATGCCCCCGCACGCCCCGCACCGGTCCTGCCGCTTTTCTCGTTCCATCCCGCTCCGGTTCCCGCGGGTCGGCAGAGCCGCCTCCTCTTGCTGCCCGAGCAGAGACAGAACGCGTACGCTTTGTGCGGTGCTTTATTGAGGGCCCGGGAGGCTGGGGACCGTGCAGTCTGTTACAGAGTCTCTAAGCAACGACTCCCCAACAATTCCCCTTTCTTGGCAACTCGCTCCCCGTGATACTGGTGATACATTCCTTAAGCCACAAACAAGATTATAAATCAGGTACCTATCATTATTCCCAGGCCATTGTGTGCAAATCATCATTCTTGCTTCCCTCCCCTGATTAAACATTCCTTACGGTTGCTTGAATTCTATGGTTACACTCTTACAACACACTCCAAAAGTTACAACACACTTCAAACGGTTATAAATTCCTATTTTACCTGCACATTATATTTTACAAATTTTCTACATTTAATTATTTTCCAACACTCTGAGTGTCCCGTCCCTTCACTCTCGCTGGGAGAAAGCCTTAATTCATCTGGGAGTGGGATCGTGTCTGCGTCTGAATCGGAACCCAAACCCCCTCCCGTTTCTGGGGTCTCAGGGCGTTTCGGAGGTCTCTTGGACTTTCGGGGTGATGGGGCTGGAAGCAGTGACATTCCTGCCTGCCCCGGGCTAACTGGGGTCAGAGCCAAGCTCTGCCTCCCCGCTCTGCCTCTGTGGGAGTTGTGTCCAGTAACTGATCTCTGAGATTTATTCGAGATAGCCTCTGAAATAAATGGGCAGGAGATCTTAGTAGAAAACTTGGTAAGTCCTCAGTCTTTGAGGGAAGATCAGTTTGGAAAGACTGTGATGTAGAAGGAGTGCAACACAGAAAAGGGGAGCATATAAGGAAGGGAAATAGATAACTTTTTATTCATAACAGCCTCTAACATGATTCTTACTGGAGACAGCACCTCAGAGCTGTCTCATCCTTCCTCGCAGCTAAAATATGTATGTGCCTGTTAACTTCTTGCCAAAATCCCAACTCAAATAACAGACGTGTCTCTAAGTATGGATAATTATATCTGACCCATAATAGTAATTCTTTGAGCTCTTTTCTAGAAACTCCCTGTGTCACGCCTTGTAAGGCTGACAGTGTTTCTGTCTGTTCCTGTGTGTGTTCCCATGTTCTTGATTTTTGACCTTCTCACCGAGTTCTTGTCTCAGAGCAGTCTGAAGCTCCTGGTTCCTGTCCAGCAGGCTGCAGGAGATGGATCCAGAGGGCCCTTCCATTCTGTTATAAATGAAAATTGCGAGTCAGCCAATTTTAATAAAAATATGAAAAATAAAATTTATTTCGCGACCGTAATAACAGTCTGATAGCCACCACCCAAACGGACAGCGTATCACCCCCGGTCGATGATACGGGTGAACGAGAGGAAAGCACCCCCTCACTGGTGCCTTGACCTCCCCGTCCACACTGCTTCGAGGTAGCAGTTCTTATACAGTTTATTTCGCCCGCGGCAGAAAGTCTTTGTTTCTTTCGGAGTTCTTCATA